AAGACCACCAAGTTTATTTCACTTATTACTTTGTAATGGGTCAATAGACTACAAGAAGGTAGACCTTTCAAGCTAGACAGGATCCCAGAAGTCCATTCCTCTGCTGACTGTGACAGCTAGAAAAAGAAAGAGAACTATGCCCTGGAAAAATGACTGTAATGTAAATGAAAAAAGAAAAAGAAACCTATGTGGTTGAAGACTGTGGGTTTGGATCTCTGTGTATGAAACACAGAATGTAGTGACAGAAAAGAGTGGCATTTGTAAAATATTCAAGGCATAGTCACCAAAGTCTAGACCAGTGTTGAAGCTACTAAATAACTATTTGTGAAGGAAATTATACCCATGTAATGTGCTTTTACGGGGTTACTTTAAGCTGTAAGACATACACTCTGTTAGGTCTTCTCAAAGAGTTCAATGTGAACAAATATCTGGTCACAGTTTTTCTTTTCTCCTGGTAAAGATAGGTTATAAAGTCATATCTGGCAAAAGTAGTTTTCCTATAGCTTCTTCCTTTTGTGGTATGACAGTTCTCTGCACCTTTTTCTGAGAACTCAGAGCTGAATGAGCATCTCTCCTGTGAGGAAAGGCTGAGGGAGCTGGGCCTGTTTAGCTTGAAGAGAAGACTGAGAGGGGATCTCATAAATACAACTATCTTAAGGGTGGATGTCATGAGGATGGAGCCAGACTCTTCTCAGTGGTGCCCAGCAAAGGACAAGGGGCAGTGGGCACAAACTGAAACATAAGAGGTTTCAGTTGAACGTGAGGAAGAACTTCTTTACCTTGAGGGTGACAGAGCACTGGAACAGGCTGCCCAGGGGCTTTGTGGAGTCTCCTTCTTCAGAGATTTTCAAAACCCACCTGGACGATGTCCTGTGTAACATGCTCTAAGTGAACCTGCTTTAGCAGGAGGGTTGGACTAGGTGATCTCCGGAGGTCCCTTCCAGTCCCTGCCGTTCTGTGATTCTGTGAATAAGACTAAGCAGTAAACATAACTGCAGCAGAGATCTGGGCTGCAGAGCAATGCCCTCGTAATAAGAAATTGATAGGAGCAGAAGTTTTGTTAGGAAGCTCCCTGTTACAACAAGATGAGATGTGTTTTGGGGAACCTTTGAACCTTAGCTATGTTTATCCCACAGCTGTTACCAATGTGGCTGTGCTGTGAAGACGTGCAATCCCTGACTGATAGAGCTGTGCTGGTAGAAACCTTTAGTGTAATACCACTGCATCAGCAAAACTTGAAGAAGGATGTATATAGATATTCATGTGCTTGTGCCACTCTATCACTTTATCGAGTTAACATCTTGGTCCTTCAGCCTCTCTCAGTGGTCCTTTAAACAGAAACAAGGGTGCCAAGAACAGTTCTTGTACATGAGAAAGGGCTAGAGATGGAGGGCTATTGAATCACAGTGAGTGAGGCAGTGACTGGCAGAAATAAGCTCCTTATTGGTACAGTTTGATGCCTCTCTTCCTCCATGAGTCAATGCCTTTCTCTGTTCATGGTTCAGTGATTCTCTCTCCCACTAGGCTTAAATTCTGCATCTCAGCAGCCAAGAAGTATGGGTAATAAATCCTGAATTCAGACAAGGGGTGCTTAAGATCAGGAATCTCAGCCTGCAGGATGAACCGAGAAACTGAAGATGGAGATGATGTCTGAACTCTGCCAAGATGCAGAGGAGTGCAGCAGCGTGCCAGATCCTTGCTGGATTTGAGCATATCAGCCTGGTAAGCGTCCAGTAAGGGGGCCCAACTGGGTCTGCAGTGCTGGTTTTGTGGTACAGCATTACTACTAAAGTGGTTTTACTACAGAACTCATCTCAAAACCAGACCAGTTTTCCAAGCTAATGCAGGGGCAAGGCCTTGAAGAGAAATAACAATGTATTTATATAGCGCATTTCTTTTTACCAGCAGACACAAAAAAAAGCATATTGATTCCAGATTACGATGTCAGAGGTACATGAAGAACATCTGTCACTATGACAGAATCATAAATCATCGTGCTGAAATCCTGACATGCCTTTTTTTCATTGGCAAAATAGTTCTTTAAAATGGGATATAATTAAGTTGCTTAGAGCCACATATTATCAATTTTAAACCCCTTATTTTTCTCATGTGAAAAATGTCAGATGAAACATACCAGTTCTGTTTTGTTTTTAAATGAAGCTAGTTAAAAAAAATGACCACTATATACCAAAGCAATTCAGGGTGCTGCTAGGAATTGTCCCATGTGAAGAAATTATAAGGAAAATAAATGAGTAAATGAAACAGTGCTGTAGGTGCCCCAGCAAACCATCCTGATGTGGAAGACAGATAAGTAGTAACAGACCAGTACAGCTGCATCAGGAATTCTCAAGTGACCTGAATATCAAAAAGGAAATCCTACAAAGAGTGAAAGCAAGGGCATATAAGTGAGATGAGTAATAAAGCAGTAGCATAAACATCTAGGGATAAAACTAGGAAGACAAAGTCACAAATTGAGTTACAACTTCCCTGGAGTGTAAAATGGAAGAAAAAGAGGTTCTATAAATACCAAGAATTTAGAGGAAGAGAAGTGCGTGCAGAGGCACAAACAACAGATACCCACAGCAGAGTGAAATGTTTTATTATTTATTTTGCTTCATTCTTCATGAGCACATAAACATTAATGGTAGGTTCTTAACAATGCTATTTTTTCTAACAAGGGGAAGGACGTATGCCAGAATAGGGAAAAAACATGTAAAAGAATGTTTGAATAAATTAGATGTATGCAAGTCTCTAGAGCTTGCTGAAAATCACTTAATACATACTGGGCTCTCAGATTATCTCTTGGAGTTCCTGGAAGAGTGGGTAAGTCACCGGGCCTGCAGCAACTACGTAGCCTAAGATGGAGATACAGTCGGGAACACACTTCCAATTTTTGGTAATGATCAGAGATCTGACATTACAACATACATTTTGCATATTATTTTAAACAAACCACCCACTCTGTTTTAAACTTGCTTTTTCTTAATTCTTGTCATCATGGCATGTGGTTTAAAGAAAAGAAAAGAAAAATTTAATGAGATTTCTTAAACATGGACTTCACAGCAGGCTCAGATTTGGGCACTATTAAGAAGTTGTTGGCTGCAGCCCTGGTTTGCAAGGCCATAACAATTTCTGCTTTTAAAAATGGGAAGTGAAGAACCTAGGGGATTACAGAGTACTCTGCCTAACTTCAATACCAAGAAAGATAGTGGGACAAATTACTGAGAAGTAAATGCATACACACCATATGAATAATAAGGTGATAAGAAACAGGCAACGTGAATTTGTCAAACTAATCTAATTTCCTTCTTGCACAAGGCAACTGGTCCAATAGATAAGGAAAAGCAGTAGAAATTACTATATAATGACCCAAGATGTACCTTGACCTAAGTAAGGCTTTTGATACTGTGCTGTATGCTCATAAATGATCTGGGAAAAGCTATCCCATTTGAAATCACTCCTAATTAAATCCACTGTTAAATGTAAACCTAACACATGATTCTTGGTGGTTGCACTAAGAGGATGTTGCAGAGGAGTCTTGCACAGTTCCTAACAGATAGGCTTCTGTTCAATGTTTCAGTAAAGACTTAGATGACAGAATTAGAAATATTGATATACTTAAAAGCTTGGTAGATGACACCATGTAAAGCTTTGCAAAATGTGCTCAAGGACAGAAGTAGAATTCAAAAGTATCTTGATAGGTTCTGAAATCCAACATTAAAAACTTGAACAAAGACAATCACAGAGGACTACATTTGGGAGGACGAAATCAAAAGCACAACCACAGAATGCCATGGCAGGTAAAGATCTCGTGATTAATGAGGGCCATGAATGAGTCCACAGTGTCATGCTGTTGAGGAAAAGAGATAAATGCAATTCTAGATTCTCTTAAATTGTCTGCTCGCAACAGTATGTGTAAGATGAGATAATTAGCGTGCTCTTCTTGGCACTGGTGAGGCCTCAGCTAAAATACTTTTTTTACTCTGAAGCAACATAATTTAAGATAGATGTAGATAAGCTGGAAACAATCCAGAGAAGATCAACAAGGACAAGAAGCTTGGAAAATCAGATCCATAAAGCAAAGTTGCACGTTTTGCTTTTGTTTTAATCTAGAAAATATAAGGCTGTGTGGGGTTCAACGGTCTTCAAGTATATAAAAGGTTATTATAAAGAGGGTAGTGATGTTTTTTCATGCCCACCAAAGATATGGGCAGAATGTAACAGTAACTTTTTTAGCTATACTATAATAGGTATTACAGTAACAGGCTGTAACTAGAAGCAAATATTATTACTGGAATATATTACTCAAGAAGGTTGTATAATCCCTGTCATTAATGGTTTTAGGTACAAATCAGAGGGACTGCCATCTACCAAGGCAACTGTGGTCTTTCTTCGAAGTTAGCAGATGGACCAGATGAATGTTTTGTAGTAGGTGGCTGAGATCCCTGGAACCATGGCAGAGTGTACAAGTTATTACATGGTAATCCATAACAGGTTTTTGCTAAGAAAGTATTTGAAAATTCCATGTGTGGTCCTGGGCATATTCATTAGCCATAATGAAAGATTGCACAGGTTGTTCTCTGGACTTTTTTTTTTTAAAAAAACACCTTGTTCTCCTTTGATTTTTTGTTGGGGGTGTGTGTGTGTGTTTGTTTTTATTTCACCTCAGGAAGGTTAGGCACAGCTTTGATTAAAAATATTGAGCAATAACAGACTACATAACCCCTTGAGATCACATCCAAGTCCACATTTCTACAATTCATGTGCAATCTACAGTATTTTTTCGGAGTTGTTGAAGACCTTTGCAAGCACAAGTTAATTATTAAACTAGTTCTTTTCCCAGGGCAGTAATGACCTAATCATTTATGGTAGTGTTCAAATGAGGAATTAAACAAACATATCCAAAATAAACACAGATCAAATCAGCTTTGCCAATGGAAAAGGACAAAATCTTGTCTTCATGCCAGTGGGTCTGAAAAACAGCTCAGATACAGACTTCAGTAAAACTAACAAGTCAGGACTTCTTAATCTGTGACAGATTCTGAATTTTAGTAATTTTATTTATTCAAAATTTTAGGATTTTTTTCTAATTTGGAAAATCAGAAAAATGCAAATGGGAGATGGGAATGAGAAAAAAATATAAGTGTTTTGGAAAGGCTGGGAAGTTTTGAAGGCTTGCATTTCAATTGAACGCTTCAACATTCAAAAACCAAAATGTTGCAGTCATGGTATATCCCATATATATCTTAGGTAGGGGAGCACAGTGCACATTATAGGAGCCACAGACCTCCAGGGACCCTAGTATACACAAGAAAATGCCAACCAGAATTACAGTGTAAATAAAGTAGCATTCTGCAATATGATATTTTTGTGTTAGCTCAAAATAAATCTTTTTAAAATCATACTCCCAAAGGAAAACTGAGCAAAACTAAGTTTTTCAGAAAATGCGCTCTTTGTTAGAAATTCAAACCCATATACAACTTCTGACAAACTCTAGTCACTATTTAATATAAAAAAACCTGTCTCAGAAAAGTTTTCTAGAGAAATCTGTGCTCATTATAGTACACCATGGTGTTGACCCAAATATGACTGTAAACACTGGAAGTGTTTGCAGTCACGATTGTTATTTTAGTCTAGTAAAAGATGGTCATAAGCCTCAAAAATAAGATCAGGGTCTGGACCAAATGTGACTTTCCAGAAATTCAGAAATATTTATGTTTGATGTTTATTGATCAGGCCATACTTCAGTGAATGCCTGCTGGTCCTTTTGTTCTTTCGAAAATATACATAACTTTCAGACACCAGCATCATGATTTCATACTGCATGAGAACCTTCTCTCTGATAAGGAACCACTAGAACCTGTGAATTTTGCTGTGCAAATGGATGAATACTGACGTAATGAATCTGGCTGGCTTCAGGTCTACCATTAGACACCCTACCCTTGTTGAACAACAGTAGCAAACTGCAGAAGTTCGAAGATCCTGGGACAAACCTGTCAGGTGTCAAGGACAGCCTTAATTCCAAAGTGCAGAGGGACAATTAGACCCAAACGAACACATTTCGGCTCAGTTGAGCTTGCTTAGGACAGCCCTGGTGAGGCAGTTTCGTTGCTGGGACCTGTAAACCCAAAGGTGGACTGTTCGGTTTGTAGGCCAGGAGGTTGTCTACAGCCCCATGGCACACGCCGACAGCCTAAAGTGTCTTAAGCAGCTTAAATAGCTTTAAGCAGCTTTAAATACTTAGACACTTTAAGCTTATAAAGCAGTTTAAGCTGCTTAAACTGTTCTAGGACTTTAACAAGTACCTCACGATGCTGCTCCTTGCCAGACAAGTGAAAAGAAGCTGGCTGCACGCTGTGGCTTCCTTGCCATCGGCTGGAAGGAAGGAGCTATGGGGTTGCCACAGATCCAGCCAGGAGTCTGTGCAAATGCATACAACTGATATTGATGTATTTTGGCAATGATGTTGTATAAAATAATGAAAAGTATACTCTCTCCACTTGATTAGCTCATGTTTCTTCCTCTTTTGTAGCTACTTCCTTTCCCCGGCCACCTCCTTCTCTTTTTCTATTTTCACCCATTTTACTCAGACTCTTTCAGTATCTATTTCCTCTCCAATTAATTCTTCTTAAAGAGTTGCTCTTACTGCAGTGATATACTCTTACAAAGAAAACATGTCTTGATTTAGCCTATTCAGTCCACAGAACTGTGCTGGGGGCAACCGTTCATTTGTATCACTGTGGTTTAACCCAAATCTAGAACTTTTTTTCTCGAGAGAAGGGCATGAGGTGACAGAAGCCATGTGGAAAAACCCAACTGCATAATCCCAGAAAGTACTGGTGGCAGCCATTAGAGCATCACCTACAAAAAAGCAGGTAATCAGATGGGCTAGCACTGTTCAGAAGAAGGAATCCAATGCACCGAATCTGCATTGCATTTCCTTCTATTTTGGAGGTTTGACAGAGGAGGAAGTTTGGGGACAGTTGTCCAGGAAAATGGGTAAATTTGTCTTCCTATATTGGTAATCTTTTAGAAATGAAAGGACTTTGTTTTCAGTTTTCATTCCAGCTCTCTGAATTTGGGGTGTGCTGCACAAACCACAGGTCATTCTGTTCTTACCAAAGGATGTAACATCCCCACCCCTTTACATACAAATCAGCAGAGTGCAACTTCGTGGCTGCCCAATTTAGTGACAATTGCCACCATTTAGTGACAAGTCACTTTGAAATGCCATGTTAATGACTAGCGCTGTGGTAATGTTTTACTAGAGCGCCTGTGCTGGATGTGATGTCCTTGCTGCTGAGGATCTGCTCAGGCCTGCATCATCTTGCTTTTTTCATGCTGGAATTCCCTTTCCAGCTCCTTTACTAGGAACTTCTTCGCCTTCATATCTTTCACTCACTTCCTGGGTGAACACGTTTTCAGGTGTTGTCTTTCCAGAGTCCTCAGTTTAACTGGCCCCATATTTTTCCACAGGCTTATGAAGTCCCATCACATGTGACTTGGTATATATCACACACTCTAATCGCAATTTGGCTGCAAAACGTAACTGTAAAACTTATCGTACTCAAACAATGTGTTCTGAAGACTCAAGGGTGTAAGCAGGAAGAGGGATCATGGTCAGCCTTACTCACTGCTCTATTTTTTGCCTATTATCTATGTTATGCATTCCTAAAGGATGTTGCATATCACCACAGTGTGTATTGCATGCACAGCATGTCCAATGTGGCATACTTATACAAGCATCACTTAACACTTTCGTTGAGGTTTGATTCATACTAAATGCTATTTTTTTTTTCCAGCAGCCTGAAAGTATGTTTGTCTCCATTTTTATGGAAGAAAATTATTTCTATCGTTATCTACTCCTTTCAAGTAAGCAATGCATCCCTTTTCCCATTTATTCGCCTATCAATTATTACTTCCTTCAAAATATGTTCTAAAACTCTACATATGATGCCAGTAGGATTCACTAGCTTGTAAGTGATTGAATTATTTCTGCTTCTTAAATATAGATTTGATATGGTCCTATCAGGTGACACCACTGGCAGTTAATAGATTCATTCTTAGTGGACTATTGGGACCATTGGAGCATGGTTTCCTTGGGTTCATGCCCTGTGTCTACAACATCCTCCTGGTAGCCCCAGCTCCTTCTCAAGCTTGGCAGGAGAAAGGGCAGGTTGTCTGGGCTGCCCATGGGCTTCCTGGCCAGTGGGACAGTGGTAGCTGCTCGGTGTCCTGGCAGCTCTCAGACTGGAGGAGGAGGTGAGTTGCACCCCCCATTCCCTCAGCTCCAACAGTGATTTGGGTCTCGCTCTCCTTTAGGCAGCTGTTCATTTGCATGAGTGATTAATGATGGGAATTAACCAGGTTAATTAAGGTTAATGATGAGCATGGAAAAGTAATCTTTTTTTAATCCTGAAAAGCTATATGTAGTTACCTATTCATATCTCATGCATTTTCTTTCAAATATTTTTCTTTACATCTGGAAGAAAAAGGTCCCATTCATGTTATGAGTTTGGGTAGTTTTATATCTGAAGGAATTTTTTAACATTTGTAAACCAGAAAACATATAACACCAGGCATCAGGTCATGTGTACAGGCCGCAATTTGGCAGACATTTATCCATATGCCTGATTTTCATAGAATCATAGAATGCCTTGGGTCAGAAGGGACCTTTAGAGGCCATCTAGTCCAACCCCCCTGCAGTGAGCAGGGACACCACTAACTAGATCAGGTTGTTCAGAGCCCCGTCCAACCTGACCTTGAATGTTTCCAGTGATGGGGCCTCCACTACCTCTCTGGGCAACCCCTTCCAGTGTTTCACCACCCTCACTGTAAAAAATTTCTTCCTTATATCCAGTCTAAACCTACCCTGCTTCAGTTTAAAACCATTACCCCCTGTCCTGTCACAGCAGGTTTTGCTAAAAAGATTGTCCCCATCTTTTCTATAGGCCTTCTAAGTACTGAAAGGCCGCAGTAAGGTCTCCCTGGACCCTTGTCTTCTCCAGGCTGAACAGCCCCAACTCTCTCAGCCTGTCCATAGGAGAGGTGCTCCAGTCCTCAAATCATTTTTGTGGCCCTCCTCTGGACCTGCTCCAACAGGTCCATGTTTTTCCTGTGCTGAGGGCCCCAGAGCTGGATGCAGTGCTCCTGGTAGGGTCTCACCAGAGCAGAGTAGAGGGGCAGAATCACCTCCCTCGACCTGCTGGCCATGCTTCTTTTGATGCAGCCCAGGATATGGTTGGCCTTCTGGGCTGCAAGTGCAACTTGCAGGCTCACGGCCAGCTTTTCGTACATCAGTACCCCTAAGCCCTTCTCCGCAGGGCTGCTCTCAATCCCTTCATCCCCCAGCCTGTATTGATACCGGGGGTTGCTCCGACCCAGGTGCAAGACGTTGTACTTGTTAAACCTCACGAGTTTCACACAGGCCCACTTCTCCAGCTTGTCCAAGTCTCTTTGGATGACATCCTGTCCTGGTGTGTCAACTGTACCACTCAGCTTGGTGTCATCTGCAAACTTGCTGAGGGTGCGCTTGATCTCACTGTCTATGTCATTGATGAAAATATTAAACAGCACTGGTCCCAGTACAGACCCGTGAAGGACACCACTTGTCATTGGTCTCCATTTGGACACAGAGCCGTTGACCACTACCCTCCGGATGCGACCATCCAGCCAATTTCTTATCCACTGAACAGTCCACCCATCAAATCCATATCTCCCCAATTTAGAGAGAAGGATGTTGTGGGAGACTGTGCCAAAGGCTTTACAGGAGTCCAGACAGATGATGTCTGTTGGTTTTCCCTTGTCCACTGATGCTGTTATTCCATCATAGAAAGCTGCCAGGTTGGTCAAGCAGGACTTGCCTTTGGTGAAGCCATGCTGGCTGAATCACCTCCCCGTTTCAGTTGGAACTCAGCTGATTTGGCACTGCATGTTTGCATGCCTTGATAAACAACTGCGCATGTGCAAAAAAAATGTGGTTGATTGAGTTGAGCCTAGTGAAGCCACACATCTGTACTGATCCACCAACGGAAAAAGAAATTTGTTGGACTAAATTACCAAGTGCTGGCAAGCTGCTAGGGTCCTGCTGCTGGGCAGATCACCAGGTGTTGGTCCATAACTGAGGGCTGCTGCTCTGACTACCAGCTGCTCACACAGCAGAAATGTATGGGACAGCAGACTCACCCTTCCTTCCTTCCTTCCCCAAACTCAAGACAACTGTCTCCTTGATGAGCCTGTAGGATTACAGCTGACCTCGCTACAGGACAGCATGGGGCTTCATAAGTCAAACTGCTGCTTTTTCTCATCCCTCCATTTTCTTCAGCGTCTTCTCCCAAACCCTGACATTCCCACCACTGTTTAATTCTTTTTAATAATCTTGATTATCTGAAATAAACTGATAGTTTATTTCAACTTCAAAAAATAACTTTTCTTTATGTTTGTTCCTAGGTGTTTTTTTTTTTTCTTTTTTTCAGCTTTGGTGGCTAGCTTCTTTGGCTAATGGATGATACAGTCAATTGCCTGAATATATTACATGTCTGTCAATACCATTTCCCTAGATTGCAGCACCAGTCCAATTCTTTGGCTCTGCTGGAAGGTGTCCTAAGAGGTGGGTAGAGTTCAAGATTTTAGGAAGAAAGCCAGCGTTTGCACTCTACCAATATTAATTTCCCTCTTGCATTCTTGAATCTGTAATTGGGCTGCGCTTCCATCTCCACCCATATCCTGCCGTGACACACATCCGTGTGCGGATGACAGGGGGAATGGTGGGTGAGCCAGCCGGCCTGCAGGCTGAGTCACCTCGGGAAGGCAGACCGTCATCTGGCAATTAGGATGGAGAAGAAGGAAGTGTGCCAGCAAAACAGGTGATCTGAGCAATGCATTGCACCCCACATGTCAAAATGGATATTGCACAATGCTGTGCTATGACAGAGAGATGCGGAGAAGAGCAGAAGCATGTATTTCCAAAATCGCCTTCAAAGTAGGGTTAAAGAAATAGCAACACTCAGCCTATTTCTTTTCATGGACCAATTTAATACCAAAGGTGAATATAACAATCAAGAAATGGAAAGAGCAGTGGTTACAGTATAATATTCTCAGCAATTTTGATCACTTTTATTTGGGTACCTTTTCCTGTGCATGGAGGCTTAAAAGCAGGATTACAAACACAATTTATGAGTATGCAACAATTATGCTATTTGTTGGATTGTACACACAATAAATGGCTGGGGCTAACATGCTATTAGCCAAAGTGCTAATGTCCTCACCGCCTCTGATGCAGGTACCCTCTGGGTTTCTGCTGGTCAGGCAGATGGTAATCATGTGGGGAACTGCCAGTGCCTATTGCTCCTCACAAGAGGCTGATCCTCAGTTTTGCTGAGTTGCGATCTTCTATTTTGATTTTTTTTCTCGGGATTTTAGAGCCTTTTCACTTAATATTTTTTCCTTCAGTCCTTGAGTGACTGCTACTGACTCAACAATTTCACTTCTGTCCTCATTTCTGCTTTTTTATATGTCTCACTTGGCTTAAGTTTATGTGCTGTCACTCATAGCTTAGCAACCCTTTTTTTTTTCAGTAAAGCAGAGCTGGGGTCATATGGCCAACCTAGGCCTCGTGGCAAAATAGTAAGAGCGTGTGAAAGATCTAGCAAAATGGTGGGAGAGAGACTGATCTGTGCTTGTTGTCTGACATATTTCAAAGCACCTTGTTGGCTTAAAAATATGGACTTTGCCAGCTGGCAAATAGACTCCGAGGAATAGACACTGACATGACCACCACCTGGGGCCAGATGTGCTGTATAACTGGTGGTATCAGTGATGGTCTTCATAATGCCAAGCAGAAAAGTCTAGGAAGGATGGACTTAAAAGGTAAATGTCTTAGAAAACAGTGATATGAAGCTGAAAATGAAACGGTACTGCAAGATATTCTGACATTGACCATACACAGATTTACAAGGAAAAAAAAAATTCACTGTGAGAGTAATTAACCACTGGCACAGGTTGCCCAGAGAGGTTTGGCAGTCTCCAACCTTAGAGGTTTTCCAGACATGACTGGATAAAACCCTGAGCAGCCTGGTCTGAGCTCAGCATTGACCCTGCTTTGAGTGGGGTGGATGGACTAGGGACCTCCTGAGTCCCCTTGCAGCTTGGATCATTTAGTGACTCTGTGATTTAAGTCGCTATTGGAGCCAAGGGTAGGTCAGGTGGAGAAATTGTGTTGCAAAGGGAGAATGCTCAGTGCACCATTTCCCAGTGTATGCTGGTGTTAGCTGGGATAGAGTTAATTTTCTTCACAGTAGCTTGTATGGGCTATGTTTTGGACTTCTTGGGTTGATAACACATTGCCGAGGGGCAATGGGCACAAACTGAAACATGAGAGGTTTCAGTTGCATATGCGGAAGAACTTCTTTACTCTGAGGGTGACAGAGCGCTGAAACAGGCTGCCCAGGGGGTTGTGGAGTCTCCTTCTTTGGAGATATTCAAAGCCCACCTGCATGATGTCCTATGCAATCTGCTCTAGGTGAACCTGCTTTAGCAGGGGGGTTGGACTAGATGATCTCCCGAGGTCTCTTCCAACCCTTGCCATTCTGTGACTCTGTGATTCTGTAATACAGGAATGGTTTAGTTACTGCTGAGCAGGGCTTACACAGAGTCAAGGCTTTCTCTGCCTCTCACCCCACCCCACCAGCGAGGAGGCTGGGGGTGCAGAAGAAGTTGGGAGGCGACACAGCTGGGGCAGCTGACCCCAACTGACCAAATGGCTATTCCAGACCATAGGACATCATGCTTAGCATATAAAGCTAGAGAAAGACAAAGGGGAGGGAGGGGGCGTGGACATTTGAAGTGGTGGTGTTTGTCTTCCCAAGTCACCGTTACGCGTGATGGATGGAAATCCCCTGCTTTCCTGGGGATTGCTGAGCACCTGCCTGCCCATGGGAAGTAGGGAATGAATTCCTTGCTTTGCCTTGCTTGCACATGCAGCTTTTGCTTTCCCTGCTAAACTGTCTTTATCTCAAGCCATGAGTTTCCTCGGGCTGAGTTGCCGCTGGGGTTAAACCATGACACAATGTGACTGAGACTCTGTAAAACTTAGCTGCTGCCATCTGTGTAAGGTGATCCCATCTCTCTCCAGGTCCTGTCCCAGTGTTCCTAGTCTCTCTCTTGAGCCAGCGCTGGCCCTTTTCCAGCATTTCTGTGAGCTGTTTCAGCTCACCAACCTGGCAGAAGCTGATTATTTTTTTTAAACTGGTTGGCTTTCTGCTGATTTAGTTAGCTCAACTATTTCACGAAAAGACAGACGAGCACCACAGCACGAGGAGGAGGTGGGAACGTGTGGTTAAGATTGGAAGGAGATAAGGTTGGGCAGGGCACTCTCAGTGGGAGAGAGCCATTAAATTTGCCTTGCTACCTCATGGAACAATGTGATGTATCTGCAGCAGCTTCAATAAGGGCACAACAACAAATCGGGTAAGCCCAAAAAGGATGCATCATAAAGAAAATAAAAACTCAGCAATAAAAAAATTTTAATGCTAAGACCAATGAAAAGTGTGGAATTACCAAAAGGAACATGAAAGCAGACAAATCAGTAAAAAATAATATTCAAGGAAAGATGAACAGATATATATTAAAGACCTAACAATTGAAACTGAAGCTCCTGCCATGGTAGGAAACCACAGATCTTGTTTACCAAGTTACAAAAATCCTGTGTGGCTAGTTTAAACAGGAAATGGGCTGATCAGAAGCAAAGATAGGGAAATGCGTACAACAGAGCTGAAATAGATGCGCAAAGCATGTTAAAGAAGTCAGTGGCAAAAACTTAGCCCTACCTTGACATGAGATTCTGTGACATGAGACGATGTGACTTCAAACAACAGGAGATTGCCAGTGGCGCAGTAGTGATGTCAAAAAAGCAAGTTGTAGTCCAGTAGGTAGCAGCAACAACAAAATGAAAGACGATTTGATGGTAGTAGAAACGTGAAGAGCCAACCATGTCACTGCAGAAGTAAAATTTAAAAGGTTGTTGAAGGGAATCTGGCAGAAAACCAGCTTTTTGATGAGGAGGATTCTTGAGTTGTTAAAATATTTAAAAACGAGACTGGGAAAGCGTGTCTCTGCCCTGCGCTATAGGGGAGGTCATTTGCAGTGGAATGCCGCGCAAGATGACACAGATGACGGATGCAGAATTGGAGGAGAACAGCCTCTGGACTCAGGCCCAGAAAACGGGATATTCACAGAAAAAAGCATCCTGAGTGAACACATGCAATGACAGGCTTTGCTCATCACCAGTTTCATTGATTTTTTTATTATTTGACAGCCGCCTCGGGAAGGCCTTGTGGAACTCGTCCTCCATCATTACGGCCTTGCAGAGAGGGATGGATGGCTGCATCTGGGAGTTCATCTAACTAATAGACTGGTTCGCTTTCAACACTGGTGTAGAACAAGGGTAGGCTTCCTTTCTGTTTCTGTTTTACGTTATCATACGTAGCTACTGTGTAAGCAGCACAAGGAGCAGCATACCATGGGGTGGATTACACATACCTTGGAAGCGTAAATTGTGCTAGTAGCATTGTGTTACTGAGCCATAGACCTGAAAAAAGCTGTGAAGATACATAACCTAGCAAAAAAAGCAAGCCAGACAGGATTCAAAGTCAGCTATCAAAGCAAACATCCCTGAAAGCTTAATACTAAGCATCAAAGTCATGTTAGAAAACACAAATTCTGGGAAAGAAGAACAGCTTGCCTGTCCTGTTCATAGCCCACTCCTGAGTAATTAGGAAGGAACCAACAGCAAGGATAACATAGTCTTCCACCATTCACACTCATTTCAACATATGGAAATCCAAGATATTCAGTCCCAGAATGAAAACAAGATTTTTTAAGTTGTTATTTACATGTAATTACAATACTAAAATAGACCCTGGAAAGTAAAGACATCAAAGGTGCTAGAAAACTAGATGCCTTGAAAGAAAAAGTGCCTATGAAAAAATCTGAACGTAGGGCTCTATCCTCAGCATAGAGCTGAACAGCCCACCAGCTGATCTTTTACCAGAGTCAGCAGGGAGCACAGGATGTATTTGGTGTGTTCTCTGAATGGAAGCCCCCAAGAATCCCCCCCAAAATGGAGACTCTCAAGTGGCAACCAGCGTGTCTGAAGAAGAGGATTCTCATCAGAAATCTTAAGAAGAGCCACCTCACAAGAATGACAGTGATCAATCTCAACCGTGTCCAGTCCACTAGAAATGCCAATGAATGACAGAGACGAATGGAAGACGCCAGCTTCCACTGCATGTCCCAGTCTTGCTATAGGAAGAAGACAGTAAGAATAACCTATGGCCTACTAAAAAATCAAATATATTCCCTATAATTTCTCTGTTTTCTCTGTGAAGCAAAACTTGCATTATCTAGCTTGTTCTATTACCTGCCACTGGAAGTAATAGTTGTGAACCTTACTGAACAGGAGGAAAATAAAGCTCTTGCTCCTGAGATGCAGAGAGCAGCTGATGTCCAGACTAAAGCACTCTGCCAAATGCTTCAAGGAGCCAGGGGCCTGTTGCCAAGGCACTGCCGTGTGATTGCTGCAGTCATGATAGACTGGGGGGAAAGTCCATGCCAAGAAGTGTTGGCAGGTGTGGGACTCGGGTAGTCATGCCACAGTGGAAGTTACGTGATCCCTGATTAAAGGGGTTTTGCCTTTCATGTATCTTCAAAGGTATCTGGAGCCTACTGGCATCATAAGCAGTGACGGTTTATTTTTTATTACCTAGACTGAATGAGAGATCTTTAATCAAACTGTGTTGCATTAGAGGCAGTTCTGCTGTTTAACCGTAAATATTTGGGTGTGCAATCTGGTGTTGATCTGCAAGGTTACTAATATCTATAAAATAAGTAGTCCTTTTTTATTTGAGTGATCTACCGAGTCGTTTCAGCTTCAGCTTGTTACGTTTGAGCTTAGAGCTGAGTGTGCTTTTTGAGGTGACAGTGCTGATGTAAGAGGGCACACAGACTCCTGTTGCCCTGAATGCAGCGACATTCAGGATATGTCATCTCTGCTACAATTCCCAGCCATTTTCTAGCCAACTCCTAACCCCACTATTTATGCCTTTTTTTTAAAAGCCGAACTCTGCAGTCTGTTCTCGGCTTTCTTCTACTTTTCTCATAAAATCAGACCCACACATAGCCCAGATTCCTCAATGGTATCTGGTGAAATTTTTCCACCTTCTCGTGCTATATATATTCCAATGTCCTGAGCAGCAGCATGTGTCTGTGTTTTGAGTACAGACTGCTATTATTTTAGACATCTGCCTTCATAAAGAAGCATCAGTGTTTCTTACATGTAGTCATAATGAGGATGTATTCACTATTTTCACAGAGGTTTAACCTTGTTTCCAAAATGAGGTTGCTCTTGTCCTCCAAGTTAAACAACTAAATACATCTTTTTTTTTTTTTTTTTTAAATCTGGGTGCCTGCCTACCAAAGCCTGTATGTATTTATATGTATATAGCAGTTGAAGTAAAGAGCCTTATTCAGGAGAGGCTCTTAAATATGTGCCTTCTTTTTAAGCACCTACCAAAGGTAAGCTTAGTGTGCATTTACGCATATTTCTGAATGGGGGTGCATTGAAGAACAGGCTTGTTTTCAGGAATCAAAACCTTCACTGAAATGTAACTGCCTGGGTTGCTTGCTGCTTGCAAGGCTGACAGCAGCGAGGGGATATAAACCATAGCTCACGCTTGCCTCACCAGTCATAGAAGTGCACGTTGTACACACGGCACCTGATCATACAACGGTTCCTCAGGCGAGATCGTGCTGTAAAGCATCCTGCTTTTCTGCAGTGGAAGCTTCAAGAGGAAGGCCACGGGTCCCAGAACACAGCCGTGACGAAGCAGTATCCACGTTACGACATTCAATTTTGTTTTCTAATTAGAGCATTCAATTATAGACTGGAAGACATACTTACACAGTATTAGAATATTCTCTGCTGTAAATGAGGTTGGGTTAATTCCCTAACAGGCCGGGCAGTGATAAGAGGTGGAGATAAGCTCCCAGCAGTGACTGGGGACAAAATTAAACACGTGGCATGCTTGCCTGCCCTGCCCTGCCAGCTCCCGCAGCCTGATCCTACGGCCACGACAGCCGGCTCCGCACCAAGAGCCCTCGCGGCAGAGAACAACGGGGTGACGTGTGCTTTCCCTTCTTGTCTGCTAACAAGCCATTTCTCCTTTGGATTCCCGCTGCAGCTCTGCCCTTGTGCAGGCCATCCGTTGGGTGGAGCAGGCAGAATCCTTAGGAACAGCTAAGACTCTTCAATAGTTTTAGTAATTTTCTTGGATTAATATTATTGGATTAATTTCATCTCTGTGAAAACGATGACTTCTGATAGGGAACATTGTCTCTCTAGGCTGATCTGCCAGGCTCAGCCATAGCTCACATAAGCTGGAACATTACAGCTTGTTTGGAAGAGAGAATGTGAGCCAAGACACAAACATGGGCCCCTATTTTCCTTTGAAAAATATGATTAGCTTTTCATTTTCCTCTTAGGCAGCATTAGGCTACTCCCTTGAGTGAGCAAAGGGTCCTTTATGTTTTGTAGATATTTGGGGAAATTACCTTGGCATTATTGTTCCATAAGTCACTTTCAAAATGTTCTAGATACCACGCAGAGATGGAAAGACAGTCTGTGACCAGAGTGTACAGCCTAGAAACAACCGAGATTAAATGCGAGGGCAGCAGGGCACAATGTACAAAACAGATAAATCAGGATGACTGCATAGTTGCATTCTTGTTTTTCCACTGTACTAACTCACAGAGCGCACAAAATAAGCCTGTGTAGCAAAGACATATGAAAAAAGACATCCTGGAAGAAATATTTATGTTGTATTAGCATATTCTTTGCTGTAAATGAGTTTGGGCTAATTACTTATCAGGCCACAGAGGGATAAGAGGGGGAGATAAGCGCCTAATGTCACATTAGGAAAAATTAATTAAACAGAATAAACATAATTTATTTGATTCTCCTATTTCCTGTTTCAACTGCTTGACTTAGCAATCTTGGTAATGTTCTTTAACAAATTCTTTATTTATTTTCTTAAACAGAAAGAAGAGAGAAAAATGAAAACAAGCTGGGAAGAGCTGAATTCCACCACGATACCTCATTTTCCTCAGCAGAATTAGAACTGCAGAATTAGCACAGATTTCTGCTGCTTGAGCTAATGGAGTGCCACTGCCAGTCACGGCTTGTCATCCTCTGAGTCAAGCACTCCCAGAAGAGGATCGCTGATGAGCAATGGTGAGAAACATGAACTGAGGCTTTGCTTCACGGCTGGGGTGACAAGCAATTGGGTAGATGTATAGTCCAGATGTAAGCTAACCTGCTGCGTCCCCTCTGGCCTCTCACCATCCTTGCCCTTTGCTTTCCCTGCTTCATCCCAGAGCTGGTCTCCTCACACAGCAAGTGGATCCCAGCTCCTGATCTCCCAATCTGATTAGCTCTTTGCTCACTCCCAGTATGACAGTCTTTGCTCCCAGTCTACTTGGCTTGACTGCCCTAAGTCCCCAATCCCTCCCCCCAACCTTGTTCCTCATCTAGCACAGCTCTGGGACCCAGTATCTATGGGTACTGTCTGAGATTTTCTCCATGGTGCATTTGTACAACTCCGTTCTCTGCATTCTTGATACAAACAACAGGGCTGCTAGGACCAGAGGAAGGCAGCCCCCCTGCTTTCCTTTTGGGTGCCTAGACCTCTGATGGCTCACGGTAGCAGATGCCTACCCATAGCAAATGGGACCTTTAGGAAAGCTTGCTGTTAAAATCAAAGTCATCTTTATTAAATGTGCACCATGACTTTTAATTCACTTATTTCACAGGCATAAAAACAGCATGGCCCTGACACAAATCTTCTATCAGATTTTAAGTCCTTGCACCAAACTTGTGAGATGTAGGCTTTGTCACAGAAGACACCAGAATTTTTAAGCACAGCACATTTTCCCCTACATGTCTGAATTGTTTGACACTTGTTCCCCTTGAGAATATATGTCAGGTAAAAAGTCTTGAATTATGCAATTTCATATTGTTTAGATAGGACAACAGGGTTGATATGTTTAATCTCATAAAAAGCATTCTAATATCTTTAATGACCACTACACAGACTTTCATTCCTTAGAGAAGATAAGAATGCCCTTGCAAACAAGAAAAATTAGATCCTGCTGTGCCAAGGCCTACGCTCTAAATAGTTCAAGGTGACCAGTGTACAGCTCAGCCTGTTACATAAAATAATTTGCAAAGGTCAGTAAAAATTAAAGACAGAATGACAGTCTTTTCAAGAAAAAAAGACTCAGTGATAAGCCCCAAGGACTATGCTGAAATCATGTCCAGTAAAGAAGAAAAGTGTGGGACTAGGTTTAGTGGGACAAATTTGATATAGTGTAGAGTAAGACTGGCTGATGAGCAAAATTCCGCCTCTCTGGTGCCCCTAACTTGGTGAGTCAGCTGCAAGGACGCTTAATGTGACCCAAATCGCAGGAAGATAGGTAGGCAGCGGGACCTGAGCCCAGCATGGTTGCAGTCATTTGCCCCATCCCCTGCAGCCAGTCCACCACAGCTCCTTTGCACCAGAGAGGATTGGGCCAGAAGGAAGAATCCAGGTGGCCTCACACCTCCGCTTGCATTGGCTAAATCCCAAACACCACCTGGAATGAGACTGTCAGAGCCCCCCCGTCTGTGCTTTCCCTTCCCTCCTTTGTTCTTTCCTTATTCACCTGTGGTTTCCCTTTGTTTTCTGTTTTCTAAGAAGAGTGTCTGCTTGAGACGTTAAAGCTATGTCCTTTGGAGGGTTGCCGCCATGGCATTAAAAGACAGCTTCCAAAAAGCTGCGTTAGGGACAGCAGGCCACGGCTGCAATTTCCACGTTTCTGTGTGACCCACAGACAATACGCTGTGCTGGAGCTTTTCTAGCCCTGAACTTGCTATTCAGAGCCAACACCAGAGTGAGAGGCTGAGTTCCCTTCCCCTGCAGCTCTTGGGCCGCCTTTGTCCCTCATTTGTGTTGCCTGCCTCTCCGGGGAAGGAAGGGGCTCTGACAACAGCTGAATAACTGAACTGAATAACTCGCTTTTCTGAAAAAACCCAAACCAACAATAACTCAATTACTCTCTCTTTAAGCCTGTTAAACAATAGTGTTTTCCTCACACAGCTTCTTAACAGCGAATGGAAATCGGAGATTTTTAAAACGCACGCCTTACTTTTCTGCATTCCAAGTATTTTTATTCTTTTTTCCCTTCATTTTCTCTATCTTTAACAAAGGGTTTAAAAGATTTGCTGTGGTTCATTTTGCCATGGGAGTAAACAGGCTAAGATTTATGCATTTGAAACCTCAAACGCTATCCCAAAACATGTTTAGCAATATAGTTTTGTTACAGTGACATAGTACCTTTAATACATTTGACCCTCTGGGTCTATTTATTTTACTGAAATTTGACTCAGCAAAGTTAAATCCCCTTATATCATTCCGCAAGACAACTCATTTTATGTCTGGATACAAACCAATTCACCTCCTAAGCCGCATAATCAACTCCCACCCTAACACGCAAGTTAGCACTAGTGCAGCTGAATGGAAAAATAAATTGTGATGGCTTTATAGAAAAGCACTTAATTTCTATGGGATGCTCGGTGAGTATCAGAACAACAGTCAGCGTACTAACTACTGTGCCTACCGACATTCTTTTTCCTTGGCTTAGGTAATATTATATAATATATTTGAGAAACGGTTCTGTAATGGCAAGCTCTGGAACAAACTCTAAAGGGCAGGGTATTTTCCATGTTTGAATAGTTTCTCCATCTGATTGCAAATAAGAAAAATTATCTTATACTCCAATTACTCCATATTCTCTGATCAACATGGATTACTCTTCCCTCTTGCTATATACTCGTGCAGATTTTGGTGTGTCTTTATTTTAGTTTTTATATTCACCTGTATTTATTAGCAAGGAAAACAGAGAAATCAGCTGTTTAAGGATGTGCCGGAGTAAACCGCTATAGGAAAACTATATTTATTTCCATGTTCAGGCTATGCAAGGCTACCTGGGGGATACCTTTTTTCACCTAAAATACTGTAAGTCCATTGGAAAAGAATTAAAGGTTGGTCAAATAAGACTTTTCTTTTTTTTTTTTTTCTTTCCTTCTTTCACATTTTGTGTTAAACATTAGAATCCGGGGACAGCCCATTACCTTAAGCCATAAACCAGTTCTTTCCCTCTTTCAGTGAAATCTGCTTGATACGTGTCCAACCCTTTCGATCTCCTGGTCTGGCCAAATAGCCTGAGATGTTTCTACTGGGCCATTGTTTTCTTTTCCTCTTTTCCCCAATGATCTAAACCATGCTCCCCGTGCAACTCGAGAGGAAGGGCTTGTAACCCGACATACAGCAATGTCCTTGGCTGAGCAGGTTACAGAGAGAGCTCAAAAGCTCTTGGCATTCTCAGGTTCCAACACACCAGCTCTTATGGTACCCAAAGCATGGTTGCACATCTGCCTTGCTTCCCTCGCACTCCCTGATTCCAGCATTTCCAGGCTCCGCCGAGCTGGTGATGGCCACGGGACTGCAGCTTGAAGAGGGAAAGACTGAAATACTGCTTTTATCATGACCAATGTACGAGAGGTAATCGTCGGTTGCATGTAAGTCTGAATCACTCGATTTTTAGTGGCTTGCAATATCACTAACAGAGTTTCTTTTGTTCCTCGACCTTGTTGAAGTGGAAGAGGCCCTTCCCTTTTATTTGAAACATTGTTTTTCTTCAGCACCCTATATTTCCTCTGGAAGTCCTTAGGCGTTTTTCTTAATATAACCCTGTGCCTTGGCTACAGCGCATTACAGGTAATCGTGTAAGAGGAGTGCAGTGTATCTGATGCGACTCCTGCACGACTCTGATCTGACGCAATCTCGTGGCACCGCTGTCGGGACGTGATTGCTATGTTGCAGTCAGCACGGAGCTGGCACAGCGCGGGCGGGAAAGCGTAAAGGCTGCAACAGAAATGCAGCAAAATTGGGAGGAGAGGCAGTCAAGTGTGTCGCAATGTGAGCAAAGGAATGGAAAGAATGAAATGGAAGGGAATATTAACTGTAAATACAGTCAGGGAAAAATAATGGAGGGTGAAGACTTCTGTCTGCAGATACTGGAAATGCAGATGTTCACAATGAGAAGAGAATGATTTTTCTTTTTCCCTCTTGTTTTTTATAGAGAGGAATGTGTGTAGGAAAAAATGAAGTAGGAAAATGAAAGAAAAACATTAACAAATGCATCCAAAACTGTGAAAGATATTGGACTGTGGCATCACATTCCAGTGGCAAGAATGGGAATCGTTAACTTGAGCTATTTAGCATTCGTATCTGGGCAAATCTGTAGAAAATTACAGAACGGAAAAATTCTGCACTGGCCTATTGGATAACCATAAATAATTTAAAGCAACTTCTATTTTGTCTTCTACAATTCAGTGGACAATGGACTATGCCATTATATAGTTTTATCATAGTTATCTCCTTTTAGCAGAACATGCTGTTTCTTTTAAGCTAATGTACATCTTTTTTTAACCACTCCTTTTTTGTTTGTTTAATTT